CACCAGATGTATATTATATATAGGGACATGTCAACTTCCAATGTCATATTTGCACGTTATCCTGTGCCTCCGAACTCCATTTTGTTTCGCATGTTCACATTGTTTTCGTCCTCCGGAAGTTTCACCCACATATATAATATATATACACATCAATATATACGTGTATATATATATACATACACATGTATATATATATATGTACATACATCCCGGCGAAGTGAAAACCGTTCGCGTGGGCGGTCGAAGCCATCATGTGGTCATTGAAGAAAGTAGTCTGAGATTCGGTCATTTGAACCACATGCATCCACTAACATGGCAGTTGGTCCGTCAATCCATCCAGGTGGTTTGGCTTGGCTTTCACACAGTCATGACACGACGCCTGTGGCTCAAGATGCAGGCACAAAAGAGCACGCTTTTCTTTTGCGCTTTTCCGTGTTGGGTGTCACGACTTTTCATTCTGGCACCGGAGCGACGTTCTCCAGGGGCATCCCTTTCAGTAGACCCTGTTTTCGCTTGTGGGGCGCTTCATGGCGGCGCTTGAATGCCTTCGATGGCAGTGGTTCACGGAGGCGGAGAACCTCATGAGTAGGACTGAGGGCAAGGGCAATCCAAAGTTTGATGGAAGCCCGGCGGCCCTACAGGAGTACGCCTTTCGAGTGAGGCTGAGGGCGGCTCGAGATTCGGTCATGGACCCGGCAGAGCTCAAGATATGACATCACAGTCGGGCTGCACACTTTCACTTCCACTTGCAGAAGTGCCTCCGGCTTTGCCGGCTTTGACCAAGAGCCAGCTACGGGATCACAGCGGGCACGTGTCTGAGCCATGCTGCGGGATGGAGATCCAGATCAGATGCGTCGCTTCATGATGACACCACCACCGCAGGAGACAAGTTTGCAACGTGCGTGTCATCATCCTCATCGCACGAAGGCTGGACCAAATGCGTATCAGAACAGCATAAAGTGCAAAGACTGCGGCTATGTCTTGCATTTGAAGAAGAAGGCAGCGCCCAAGAGCATGGAGACCAAGGAGACCACATCGTGCTCACGTGCTTGCAAGAATTATGAGGCCAGTTCAGCACCTTCGACGCCTGGAGACCCAGCGTTGGGACCACGGAATCCCAAGCTTCTTTATGTCAAGTACCCCGAGGCAAGGCAACCACTCACTCACTCACTCACTCATACATACACCCACTCTCACACTCTCACTCTCACTCACCACCGCCCCCACCATCACCACGATCTCCACCTTCGTCACCACCATCACCTCTCTGGACCCCAATGCGTCTAGATCTCTAGATTTTCTGCTTTTAGACCTCACACGCACTGTTTGGGGTCTCTTGCCGGGATAAAGACATGTTTGAGGTTCCAATGTTTTTGTTTTAAATTTGTGGCCATCTGTTATGATTGATTATATTTCCTTGGTCACTCTTTTGGGTACTTCAGCTTTTCCTTTTTGAATAAATAATGTATACCAACTGTCAATGTTATTTATTGAAGTGAAAGTTCATTGAAGCAAACAACTCATTTCTGAAAATGATTACAACAAGTATGACACTATAGACTATTTCTGCAAATCAGAATTTTTCTTGAAGTTGAATGATCCTGAACTTGAGATTAAGATGCTAATAAGAGACATTTAAAGCCTTGTTGGCCATAGGTATGAGGTATATATGTGTCAAAACATACAATGAATGGAAGGTAAAAAACATTACAGTACCTGTTCTGCGTGTATTTTTCTTTGAGCCACGGGCACTATCAAGTGCGTCTCAAATCAAAGAAACATAACAAACATCTGAGCGCAATCTAGCTTTTAATGTTTCGCTACATAGTTTTTGTGAACATATTTCATAAATCTGCCAAATGTGGTTTTTTGGTGATGGGTTGTGCGGCTGTTATTTTAGTTGTTTTCTATATTTTAGACTGTGATAAAAGGATATTAAGAAACATCCCAGAGACCCTAGTACATATTTGTTAGCAAGGTCAACAAGGCTTGACATTGGAGGTATTGGAGACAACATCTCCCCTAATAGAGGTGCTGACCTGATGATGGATGATGGTTAACGGGGATTCTGTGTGAAGCATGAGAGTTCGGACCATGAGAACAAAGAGGGCTTAGCATATTGGCCCAAGTTTGGTGAGAGATCATAGCCATGCCAATTGGGAGCTTGCGTTTGACAGCGTGGAGAGGAATGGGCAATGGATGCTTTATGTGGTGAGGGTGGATGCCTATACTGCATGGTCTAATTGGGATAATGGCTTGGAAAAGGAAGAGGATTGCAGGACGAAAGAGATGGAAGGCAAGATGGAAGCAAAAACGGGAACTTGATAAATGGGCGAGGTAACCCGCTTATCAGAGAGGGTAGGGCCTGTGTGAGGGTAGGGCCTGTGTGAGGGGCGCCCTTTGTGAGCTTGAAAACCTTCAGACCTTGATAAAATTTTACGAACAAAAGTGACAGATGTTTGCTAGAGAGTTTTCGTGGTCGTGGGAAAATGTTTTTTGGGAAAACATTGGGCCATCAGAATGGTTAGTAACATGAGCCTGGAGCCTTCAGGAGAAGCAATCAGAAGGTTGGGTGGGCAGATTGAGGCAGTTGAGGGGTGGTGGTGAGGATGATGACACCAGCGCCAGCTGGAATGACTTCATAAAGAGGCTGGTCAAAAGATCAGTTTCACAATGGATCAATTTCACTATCGTAGGAAGATAGATGTTGGATACTAACTGAAAATAAAAATTAAGCAACACAGTATATTGACTTATCAATAAACCATATTCATAACTTCCTGGTGGCAAATGGGCTTGATTGATAGGGGAAGGTGCCAAGAACAAAGTTTTTGGAGGGGAATTTAGGTTTTAAATTAGTTTAGTGTTGGGGGCTCGGGATGGGCTTGATTAATTGTGGGGGTTACGTAATCCTATGTTAACATTTTGGCAAAGGGAACCATTTGTCAATCTCAACGCAAAAGGTGGGTGTTGGTCGGGGGGGTAGCATATATTTTATATATATAGGTGCATATTTGCACGCACTAGATAAACCCAATCCTTCCTCCAGCAACCCAGTCTCCCTGCTTCAAGAAATTGGACGGATTGTTCCAGCACCTGTTTTGTGCTACCCCCATTTCAGTCTCAGAAAACTGGTTTTGATATTTCTATCCTTGCTTGGCTTGGTGAACCTTTAAAAGAATGGGGGAGCCAAAGATCCAAACTGGGGGAAACATGATTGGGACACTGCGCAAGAGACTCCCACATGCAAATTCTGGCAATCTTCCTACTTGATGGCTGGTAATGAATGCAGCTGTTTGTCCTTGATGTAGAGATGTAGAGATATTTGACAATTATTTTTCGGAGACAGGTCACCAGCACACATGCTTGCCAAACAGTCAAAGACAAACAGATCAGTCAGGTTGCCAGAGATTTGTGATAGGACTTTTCATCAACAATAACGTTGTTTTCATTTGATATCTCCAAACACAAATGACATCATATGATCTCAGGTTGTCATGCGTGAAAGCAACGTAAGCCGTGTTCCAAATCAGCAATCGCGGTGGTTACAATTATATTGGTGGTACCACTTGCGTGGTTGTGTGGCAGTTGAAGCCTTCATTTTTGTCACGCAGTGTCCTTTTTGAGGGTTTCACAGGCTTGACAGCTAAAAAACAAAATCGTTTGTGCGTTTCAGTCTCTAGACGGCAAGCCCACCACTTTCCCACTCAGCGCAGATAGGGTCCCCCTTTGGACATTGTCAACGCTGTTTGAGGGACGTTTGACGGCTGATGCTTGCAAAGCCTACATGTGGTCGTGGAAGCTTTGAGACCCTGCGGGTGACGACTCGGTCGTTCCAAACTGTAAACTCTACCCGGCCTCCCCCAAAACAACGGATGGAGGATGGCCACAACAGTTTTCTACATTTTTCTGAGTTCAAGAAAGCGGGCACATACTTCCAGCAGGAAAGCACGTTAGCTGGCAGATGCTGGTTTGAGCGGAAAAAGTGTTCAACAATCTTTTGCTTCTTCCAGCATCCTGTGGAAGTCTCCGCAGCGGCTGGGTCATGTATTCTCAAGAGCTTTGACTCCGGCAGCAACTGCAACGATTGCATTTCTGCATACTTGCTAGTCATTGAAGATAGCGAAGGCGCTTGCATTGGCAGCACAAGCTATTCAGGAAGACTGACTTAGATTGTTGTACGAAACGATACGTTTTTTTGCCACCCCATGAAGCTGTGCTTTAATCGCTTGTTCATCAAGAAACCTCCATCGAATGACCCGAAGTCGAATCGAATGTAAAATTTGTTTAAAGCAAAAAAGCAAACGTCCAGAAGTCTGGAACAGGTCGAAACTGCAAATAGTCAAGTCGTTCAAGGTCTTGACAAGATGCGAATGAGACTGTTCCAAACTGACTGTAATGGCCTGGAGCAAGAACTCAGTGTGCAAACCGCCGACACTGGACTTCAAATACTCAGTATGTTCGATGAATGGCTTGTGTCTATATATACTGACTTTTTGCAGGATCTTTGCTTTGGTTTTCCGCAGCTTGTACAGGTGTTGCGCATGTCCTTGTGTGAATGGTGTACCGGAAGCGGTCAAAGATGCGCTCACGAACGATGGACCTCAGCGCAACCACTGCGAGTGGTCAAAATACAGTTCGCTGCTAGTGACTATCACTGACGTGCCATGAGTTGCTTCTATCAAACATTGCATTTTGTATTCCATGTCAAACAAATGTTCCTTGTCATTGGACCACAGACAAAACGATAGCTGCAGGCATCACCCTCACACAGTGTTGCAGCACAGAGGAAAGCGCAAGACGAGACAACATACTTATTCTCTTGAGTTCTTGCGTATCAGGCACAGAAACAAGAAAGCTTGAAGCAACCAAGATGGGATTTGTCACCTCGCTAATCCACTCAAACCAGTCTAAATAGGGAGAGACCGTGAACAAAAAAGACAGAACTAGTTTAAACATGTATTTGAGGTCTTGAGCCACATGTCAGCACATTTTGGCAAGAAAGTTGTGTTCAATTAGTTAGCTCGACGATGGCGACCTTAGATGCGGGGCCAAAGTCTGACTTAGCAATCCAGGCGTTGACATACCAGCAGGTTATTTTGTCGACTTACACAATTGAGAATGTTGCAGGTTCTGGAAACATCTTTGAGCCACTTGGCGGACTAAGAGTTTGGCAGAGAGCGCTAGCTGTAGCTGCTCGTGTAGCTTTGGTTCATACTGTGATCGTGCAATCCAAGGAAATGAAAAATATACACGCGACAAATTGGAAAAACTGGTGGATGCACAGCAACTGCAGGCTGAAAGCCAAAAGCTTGCCCCCCCAACTTTTCTCAACAACATTTAAATGGATTGAGCCAGCTGTCAGGTTGAAGAGCATCGCAGCTTGAGACTCAAGCTGGAGGCGGCCAGAGATGTTATTTTTTGAGTGGGCAAGACCATCTATGCTATATACAGTGTTCTTTGCGCTGTACAATGCAGGCGCTTCTTCGTATTGAACGTGAAAGAGTTGGACAGCTGGAACGTCAAGTTTGGGAATTGCAAGCTCAACTGGTGCCAAAAGTGATCCCAGCATTCAGTTCTCAAATGTGTTTCAGTTTTGCTGTGGTGGTGGGCATGGTTTGGTCGTTGAGCCGTTTAGTCCCATTTGCCAGGACAGCGAAGAGATGCCCCAAGACCCTGTCCGCCTGCAGATCCTTTTGCGAAACCGAGACAAACAGTTGGATGATCTATCCCATCGTTTCCAGGAGGGTTATGTTATGTTCTACATATACGCAGTACTTTGGTTACTGTAAAAGATTCTGCGCAGTGTATTTGCGTGAAGAAGCATGAATATTGCCAATCCGCTTCGATGATCGCTGGATATCTTCTCATTGATCTTGTTGCATCGATGTCCTGGGAGGATCTGCAAAAAGAAACTGATACTGCGCACTTCCAAGTTGCTCTCACACGTCAAGAGGTTGCAACTCTGAGAGACACTTGATTGCACTTTTCATATAAGCAACATTTTATTGAGAGTTTTGCGATGCCTCTTCTCATTCTTGCTGAGTTCCTTCTTGGACAAGTCTTCAAACTCTTTTGTATGGAATACAATTCTTGGCTTCAACAACTTTGCATTTCAAACCCCTAGGCAGAAGCAGTGCAGCGCGGTGATGAGCTACAGAGGTCGATGCAGTGTGAAGCCCAACTGCGTGCCCAAATCTTCCAGCTCCGGGATGAACTGGAGCGCCTGCAGGCACTGTCTAGTGTAGTCAGCGTGTCAAAACCCTGTGACCCTGAGGGAATCAAAGTATGTTTATGTTTTCGAGTGAGGACTGGCAGGTTTTGCTCGGGTGTTTTGAAGAACTCAAGTGACTCAAGAGATTGGAACATCCTGAGCTCTTTGTCAATCTATGTGTGTTATTGATGTTGAGGCATTTAAAGTTTGCTTCGTTCGTTGTGCAGTCTTGCTTTTTTTCTTTTGGATCGTGCTCAACGTGACTCATTAAGGTGTCTGTTGGGAAGTCACTAATTGCGTTCAAACACGATCTGAGAATTGTAATTACTTGCCAGGCAGCGCTCGTTGAGGAACAAGTTCGCAGTTCCAAAGTGGTGCAAGCTACTGCAGCCTTGCAGGTGGGGCCAAAACGAATTTTTAGGAAAACAGCCGACAGCCGTTGATAAAGTTCATTGAGGACGTTTGGTTGCCTTTAAAGGCTGAGCAGGAGCGTTTTGCTGCCATGGAAACCAAGATGGTTGAAGAGATGCTTGGCAAGCAGACAATTCTCCTGTCTAGAAAGGTTAGAGAGCAACGTCCTCATACTCATGCTGTATTTTTGTCAATGCTTGTGTGCATATTGTTTGTACAAAGCTTTCTCGAAAATTCTGCGACCAATTTGTGGCCTGCCAGGAAGGAGCAGGCCAAGCAGGAGTTTGAATGCTTGGCCGCCCAGTCAGAAGAAAGCAATCAGACAAAGGACCAAACCATTCGGCATCAAACATCTGCGATGGAAGCTCTGAATCGCGAGTTGAAGGACTGAACGCCACTTTGCGCTTGAAAATCGAGGTTGCTCTCGCTGGCCATACAGCTCGTGTCGTATTGAATATCACAGCAAGTGTTATGTTTTTGTTGTAATTTTGGTTCACACCCTTTTCGCCTTTGTTTAGGAGAAGCAGGTGGAGATAGATAAGCTTACAGCCGTACTGTCTGCAGGCTGGAGACACTTTCGCCCGAATCGGACTGCCTCGGACTTTGACAAGAAGTAGTTTCTTTGTAAACTCTGCCAAGTCATCGCAGGTGAGGAGGGAGCAAAGGGCGTTCAGCGCATTTTCTTGCCACCTCTTGGACCAAAGCCTATGGAGGATGTTGAGGCCACGGAATAAAGTGCTTTTGAGCCTGTTGTTTCAGCGATCGTCCTGCTTGTCATCAATTGCTGCATTTCTGGCTTGCGGCAAGTGAGTTTTGCTAGTCCTGGAACTGTGAGAAGCACCTCAGATGGGACACATTTAGCATATCATGTCTAAGATAAGTTCAAAAAAGTCGAAACAAACGAGCTCGCAGAAGTCACCTGATGAGTCAGATGAGTCATTTGTCGCAAAAGCCACATGTGCTTCCTGAGTGTTTGTTTTGCTGCGTGCTTTGAGCACATGAGACGGCACAGTTCTTTTCTAAAGTAAACACTTTTCACCACTCCCATTTCAGCAAGTAGTAGATATACTTTCAACTACTCATTGTGAAAGGTCAAGCGCTCAATCGACAACCTTCGCAAGCAGCTGAAAGCGAAGGAATCGAAGCTGTCCAAACAGACAGAAAGGCTGCAGGCGATCCATGGACCTTTTTTCGACAAGCTGTTGACGGGGTGACATTGTCTGAATCACAAGGTTTAAAGAGCCTTTGAAGATTCTCGCGTACCGTTGTCGGGTTTTTCCGGGTGGTGTCGGGTTGTGCCATGGTTGCGCAGTGCCGCCATTTCCTCCGTTAAGGGTTGAGCTTCATCGAGCTTCTCAGGGCCTTGGAGAGCTGCTTGAAGAGCGCGACGTACAGCTGCAGGAGCTGACTAGTGCGCGTCGTGACCGAGAAAAGCTGCGCTTGAAGCTGGCTGACTTGGAGGCTGGAGAGCTGGAGAGCCAAGCTCTAATCGAGAAGGGTTTTGCATGTAAAGCAGAAGCTGAAGCGCTTAGAAGCAGAAGCAAGTTTACCAGGTCCTATATATAATATCTAATATAGTAATATATATATATATATGTATATATATATATAATCAATGTTATAAGTAGAATGCTTTTTCCCCAGATAGCGAAGCTATGGGGTTCTTACTTCAACTAACAATGAGTTGCCCGTGCGCGCTTTCGAGACAGGTTGCTGGTGCTGGGTGCCGGTACTGGTGCTGGTGCTGGTGCTGTGAGCTGGCTGTGCACGTGGTGGAGACA